GGCCCATAGTTCTTGTATTATGGGAATAAGTAAATAACTTTTCCTTATCTACTTTCTCCACATTACTCATGATTTTATATATCTCTATCATATCCCCCCTTAGTCTCCTCTTTTCCAAGCTGAAAAGTCTTAGCCTCACTTCATATGGGACCCGTTCCAAACTCCTTATTTTAGTTGCCCTTCTCTGAACCTTTTCTAGTGCCAGTATATCTTTTTTGAGATGAGGAGACCACATCTGTACGCAGTATCTGTAGCTACGAGGGCCAACCTGCTCCTTGGATGTATGAGCAGGAGAATATCAAGTAGGAGCGGGAAGGTGGTTTTTCTCTCTATGCACAGCATTAGACAGTTACTGGAATATTGTGTCCAGTTTGGATATCCACACTTCAACGAGGGAGTTGACAAATTGGAAAGGGTTCAGAGAAGAGCCACAAGAATGATCTGAGGGCTGGAAAACAATCCATATAGTGAGAGATCAAAGACACTCAGTCTATTTAGTTTATCCAAGAGAAGGTAAAGAGGTGCCTTTTAACCTGGTGTAGAAGTACCTGTAGGGGGAAGAGATTTTGAACAGCTCTTTACTGTAGCAGAAAAAGCCAGACCACGATCCAACAGTTGGAAGTTAAAGCTAGACACATTCAGACTAGAAATAGGGGCACACATTTTTAACAGTGAGGGTGATTCACCATTGGAACAACTTATCTAGGAGTAGAGTCGCTATCACCTGATGTCTTTAACTCAAGACCGGATGTCTTAAATATATCCTCTAACTCAGTCAGAAGTTATGGGATTGATGCTGGGGTTACTGGGCAGCATTCTCTGGCCTGTGTTATGCAGGAGATCAGACTAGATTATTGTAATGGTCTGTTCTGGGGTACTAATGGGGGTGTGACATGTTGTAACTAGGTCACCCAATGTGGTAGATTCTGTAGTGTAGAATTTATTCCTCTGACACATGAGACTTCCCCCCCCCCCACTCTCTCTAGTAGTCTCTCTACCTGTCCCCCCTCTTGTTTATGGATAGATGCCTGGAGATGTGGCTGCGTGTCCCTAGCAGAGAACACTCAGACCTAAATCTTGGAAAGAACCAGGGTGGGAAAACAAAGCACCAAACTGGCCTGCCCTATTTCTGACGTAGCACTGAGTTTGTACTCCAGCGTCTAACTCTGTGGTAAGCAGAGTTGTTTCGTAATTACAGGGGTTTTAACACTTCACTTTGCCTCGGCAACGGCACTTTGTTTCCTGAACTACTGATCATCGAGACATATTAACCTGAGCAGAAGTGACGTGTGTAGGGGGAACATGACCCCCTGAATCAGCAGCCCTCCGGGAAGTCACACTCTTGACTCAATTGTGAAGCTCTTTTAAACAACAGCAGGGGCACTTTGCCTTCCCATAGCACCTTCATTGCTGCGAGCACCAAGCCCTTCCCTTACACCGCCCCCAGGCAGTTTGTAAAATAGGGATTCCATTAAGCGGAGAGGGAAACTGAGGGAGAGAAAGGTGTAATGCCTACCCAAGGTCACACACCCAGCAAATGGCAGAGCTACGATGAACCCAGAACCAACAACTACCAAACTTACACAATGGCCACTAGCCAGTGCTGGCTCCCCTTTACTGGGAGGGCTATCGAGCGGCGGCACCTGCAGCTATCAGTGCCACTTTACAGCTCAATCGCCTGCCTGCTGCCCTCCAGTTTAGACCACATTATGAACGATAAAAGAACAAGAGAGACTCCAGGCAAGGGTGGGAAAGAGGGTAAAGGACTAGGCAGCAGGGCCCATGAGGAAAGGTTACATTTTAGCTACTTAGAAGAAAAGCAGAACTGGGGGAAGGGATTGGAGATCTGCTCACATACAGGTAGTAACAATCAGGGAAAAGGAATTCTTTGCAGGGACCCACAACTTGAAAGCACGGAGAGAAAATAGATCATTTAGGCATTGCAGAACAGCTCAGCAATGTACAGAATTGCCAGAAGGAATTGAGGGGCTGCGGAAAGGGGCACTCATAAGCTGCGTAAGAAAAGAAGTTTATCCGCTAATTAAACTTCGTGGCTAATCTGCAGACTAAGTGGCGCTGCTGAGATAGACCAGCTCGGAGATTCAGCAGTGGGCTACAGGCCCTTTTCTCCAGCTTGGTGATTCCAATCCAGTCTAACTCAGCAGGAATGGGAAGCTGTTGCCAGCTCGACTCTTCGTTGGCCTATGGGAATTCACCGGGCAGGGCTTGTCTTAGCATGTTTTGCCAGGCCAGGCAACTATTTATGCCCCCGCGCCTAAAAAAATTTAAATGCCTGACTCTTGCCCACTCCCCCCACCCCCAAAATGAAACTTGCCCCCTGGATCAGAAAGGACCCAGTCATCTTTGTGTTAAATAAAGGGAGTGGCCATGTCTCCCGGAAGGGCAGGAATTGCTCTCGTTTCAGGACCTATCAGAGAGAAAACAGGGGTTTGCCCTGGATGTTGTGAGCCCTGCAGACTGGCTCCCTCGAGGCCCCAGGACAGAGCTGGGCTGGTAATGCTACTAGCAGGCTAGGTGCACAAACGCACCCCCACGGCTGTCATACAATAGCGTTGCCTCCGGGTAAGCCCCCCCCCCCCAACTGGTGCCGCTGGCCACTGCTGCAAATGGCAAGGCAACAGGCAACTCAGCAGGACCCCCTCCAGGTGCAAGCGGATACTGCTTCCCCATCAGGTTCTCTCACGCTTCATTTCCTCTGGCAGCCACCATACAGCCCAAGGGTCTCCCTCAAGTCAAAGGCCTTGATCAGTTTCCAGGAGCTCCAGCGTAGTCACAGAGCTCTGTTCTGAAGCCACAGGCCAGGGCAAGACTACATGCAGAGCTCTGCAGGTTGGTAAATCAGCAGGGCTCTCTGCTGCACAATACAACCAGGTTTTCTGATGGTGGAGGGGGTATGTGGTTCAGTACAGACTTGACAGCTCCTTCATCAACTCCTAGTAGGAGCATGACATTTTCTGAGGTGCCTAAGTCCCATTTTGAAGTGAATTAGGCACCCAAGTCTCACGGAAAGTAAACAGGACTTTGGCACCTTTGATGTTCTGCCGCAACAGGTCCCTGTGCTTTCTTCTGCGCCATGCTCCATGGCCAGAGATCACGCTGGCCGCTCAGCAGAGGAGCTCACACAGCCACTGGCTGCTCCCCAGCAGGGAGCTTGGGGCAGCCCTAGTGCTATCACTGGCAATTCTCCCAACCATGAGCTTGATCAGCCACTGACTTCCCGAAGTGTCAAGGGCCCCACAGCTCTGATGTTTCTGGCCCTCACAGCACAGCTGTGTGTGGTTCCAAGGGAAATGCACATAACCTCAGCTAGGGTCCGTAGCAAAAAAATCACAACACGATTACAAGCTCAGTCTTTGTTTGCAGCCCCTACCCTGCCTTTGCCAGATTGGAGTCAGGGACTATGCTTTGCTGTGGGTTGTAAAGTGCCCATCTCCAGTTTGAAATCTACAGCCACCACTTACTTCAATATAAATGATTAACAATAAGCCAGAAGCTTCCATTAAAACAGTGGAAGACAGGATTCTCATTTCCATATCTTGGTCCCTAAAATGAGATGTGGGGGGAGAGCAGGGTTTGCTGGCTTTATTTAATAAACTATATACTACAAACAGCTTGCCTACTATCATAACCACACTGTGTACCCACAGCTTCCAGGCTGCCTACATTCTACGGGGGGTGTTAAAAGAAGACAGGCTAAAACCCTTAATTATGGAGCATTGCCCAAGGCATAGATGACAAGGAATCTTTGCTAGTGTCCTTATTTTTTTTTAAATGCATGCAGTGGGAAAACTTAAGAAGGCATCATTCAACTTGCACTTGCCCTCAATGAGGCAAAGGATTTAATCCAGCCCAAACTCTGTGAGCTTTCCAAGTTCTTCTGCAGCTGGAAGGACAGCTGTCACTTCATCACACCGCACTGATGAGCTGACACAACTTGAAACTCAGGGTTTCCAGATGAGAGAGACTTTTCTTGATCATCTACCCACAGCATTTTGTGGTCTGAGCTCTACCCTTCAAGTGTTCCAAGCGAAGTGGAACATATTTATACTTAACCCAGTGAAACAGATATTAAGCTGTTCCATATTATTTCACTGTGCACAGTGAAATAATCAGCAGAACCCACTGCAAAACTAGTTGATATTTCAGATGCAGTAGTCTCAATTCACAGCAACACCCACTGTCTGGATGGTTTGCTTCGCTTCTGATATTTTCAAT